TTTAGAGTTTAAGAATGAACTATAATATGTTTTAGAGTTTAAGAATAAACTATAATATGTTTTAGAGTTTAAGAATATAATCTATAATATGTTTTAGAGTTTAAGAATGAACTATAATATGGTTTAGAGTTTAAGAATAAACTTTTTAAAATCTAGATATTTATTTACGTATCATGGTTATTATAGTTAACAAGATTGGTTGTACAAAGATATCAACATATATTAAATACAATTGAATTACGAAAATAATGTGTACATAATTTTAAATTAGATAAATCATAAGGATACATTTTCATTTTTTCAATTAATTGGAAACTTGGATCTGTCCTGCAAGACAAACAATTTGGGGAGTATAGAGAATAAATTGCTTTTTTTTAGTCTTTGATTTGTTTTTAAAATTCATCTTCATAATAATGGAGCATTTAAAGAGAAAAATTTGATGAGAGTGCATTAAACAGATTTTATGTAAAAATGGTATAATGTCAAAGAGAGTAATATGGACAGCAAACTACGATTGTACTGACGGTGAACATTGAAGGTTCGTCATCAGTATTACACTAGTTGAATTACATCATCATGATGCTAAATAGCAGGCGTAATTTTGTAAAACGATATATTTTGGATACATACTGGCGAGGAACATTGATGGTTCCTTCCTGCATGTTTTTCCCTTTATGTAGTTAATAGTCTACACGGCCTACGTGGCCAAAGCTCGTTATAGAAACATTAATTTCAATTGGAGCGAGGACGCATTAAATTTAAGGAATAGACTCATGTAAAATGTTAGTTCTACGGTACTGACTAGAAGATTGGAAAGGGATTCGTATTTAACCCTTTCATTTTTGTAATAAAACTCAAAGTATAGTCAGGTATGATGCACGGTTATATCGTGCATGGATTAAGTCTCATCTTCTTGAGACGTGATTTCCAGGCGATGAGGTTTGACGGTTCAGGAGACGTTTCTGCTTCCACAGACTGAATCAGTAAAAAAAAGAGCATTAGTTTATTGTGAGAGAAGATTCAAGGATTGGGAAGGGCTTCAGATTATAAACCGGAGTCCTCATAATGCTTGAAATAGCAAAGTTTTATGTCCGAAAGATTAAATTAAAGGTTAGCGGGTGAAGAGACACTATTAAACCTTAGATTCCATTCTCAACGTTTAAATTTTGTTAAAAATGCGTTTTTTTAAAAAGTTCGTTTTGGCTTCAGTTCTTGCTTGCAGTTGCATAGTTTTATGTCCGAAATATTAATTTAAAGGTTAAGGGGTGGCAAGAAAGTTTTTAAACTTATACAACTGATTTTACATGCTCAAGGTTTATAATTTTATTCAGAAATGTGATCTAATACCGTGTACATTAGGTTTCGACCTTAACATTCCATAAAGGTCCATGTTCACATTGTGCTCTCTGTGTATAGAAGGTTAAAAACTCATTAGTAATGAAAGAAATCTGCCACTCATCACGGGCCTTATGGAAATATATTTTTTACCGTTATTATGTGCTCAGTGATGAGGCTGTTAGGTCTCTGAGATTCACCGCTCATTTGTCATCCCGGTTTCAGCTTAACTAGGTAAAGAGAGAAATATGATGAGGGAGGGAAGAAATAATTCAAGAATCTCAGGGTTTTAATTAATTATGTATGTAGGGTTCTAATTCAGGCTTGAGTTAAAGCGTTAAACTATTAGGTAAGGACTTTGAATTTCGAATACTTAATTTCATGGATTTTTTACAACTGAAGACTTAAATTTTAGATTAGAAGATGCTGTACACAATTTAAATTCTTAAAGTTTTAAAATTCTATTAGATAGCGTGTACATTAGTTTCGGTTCAAGAGTTTCAACCTTTACAGTCCAAAATGTTCCGTGTGCACACCCCTGCTCTCTGCATAAAAAAAAGATTTAAAATTCATTAGTGATGTAGGGGATCCTCACGGGAGCTTATGGGAATATATTTTTTACCGTTATTTTTCGCCGAGAAGTACCGATATGAGGTCCCCCAGCTCCTCTGAGTTTCGACAGATTCAAGGATATTCTCGCACTCATTCATCTTCACGGGTTCGGTTTATCTAGGTAAAGAGAAGACTGTTTAGAAGGGGAAAACAAGAAAAAAATTCTTCCATTTTCCTTTAACANAGAATTCTTTCGTTTTCCTTTAACAGCAAGGCCGTCGTGATTATGACTGAGCGTGTGGGTTGGGTTCAATTCTCATAATTTCAGATATCATTGGAATTCTAGAAAGTAGTTTAATTATCATTGGAAATCAAGAAAATAGTTTAGACATTGAGATATTTAAGTGATATCTTTGATTTTAATAATTTAATTTATCGAGGTTCTATAAGAAAGTATGTACATAAGATTTTGAGCATATTTTAGAAACTAAAAACTTGTTCCTCAAGTTTACGCTGAACAGCCTTTCGGTTTGAGCACAGTTGTTAAAATTTGGCATTTTGTTACTGAGAATATAGATTAGATGCCAACTCATTAAGTGAACCTTTACAGTCCGGTGTGGGCCGCATGCCCGTCCTCGGTTTCTGTGCAAAAAAGAAAATATAAGATCCAGTGAGGGTGACTACAAAAGCCAGTTTTCCACAGAACTTTTTTAAAAATCTTTTTTACCGTTAATTATCAGTTTTGGGGTGTAGCTCCGAGATCGCCAGGTCCGATATTCGTCTGGCTGTCAGCTGGGACCCAGTTTTAACTAAGTATACCGAAAAACTTTGAAAATTTTTTGCAATTTGAGTCGTATATTTTAGGGCACTGGACGGAATTTTTAATTATATCACTTTAAGTTTTTAATTTCAAAGACGTGATATTACAGATTTAGTTTTTGATAGTGAAGGATTAAACTTTTAAATCTATTTTCTGTAAGGCAGATATTAGAGATAATTGACATATTATTAAAGAGAAATTACATTAAATTTTTTTTGACAGTGACCACTTTTAAATAGGATTTTTGACGATGGTGGTGAAATAATATTAAATAGTTAACGTCTGCGAATCTTCTACGGGCTCCTAAAGGTTTTATTAATCTTTTTTACCGTTATTCTGTCCGTTGTGAGATTTTCTGACTCATACAGCCAGCGTGCACAGGATCAGTAGGTTCCTCGTCAAACTATTTTAAAAGTATAAGAGAATTTGGAAAATATGCGTAATTATTTAAGAATATTTAAAAGCAGGATGATAAAAGAGAATTGTTTTTGCGATTTACTTGTTAATTTTCAATTGTTTTTTTTTCATTCTTTAGGAGCTTCAATACTGACACATAATGGTATAAGTCAGCAAAAATAGGAAATATTTTAGGAATATAAATACTGGCCAATATTGGAATAAGTAGGTTTATTAGACATTTCTCTGAAAAATATAAGCATTAAAGAAAATATATTTTACGATTTTAATGTGTGCATTAGCACCATTAGCTTTGTCGGAACCGTCTGCAACCCATTTATAATGGTTTGCGTCATGTATTTCCAGCATATTAAGCATGATTACCTATTAAGGTATCTGTAGAGATTTTAACTTTAGTTCGTCCTCGGTAGGACACCACGGATTGTTCCAGATTATCCAGATACAAGAAGAGGCCAATTTTTTTGTAGAAGGTTATATTAAAATGAGTCGTATTTAAGTTTGTTGCCTTTGTTTCAAAACATGGGCTATTGTTTGGTTTTAAATTACGCCGTTCGTCAGAATCATCCTCGAGGGATGGACTCCGTACGAATATTATTGTAGACACTATTGATTCTTTTCCTCTAATATGAAATTGGCGAAGTTTGTCAGAATCATCCTCGAGGGATGGACTCCATACGAATATTATTGTAGACACTATTGATTTTTTCCTCTAATATGAAATTGGCGAAGTTTGCGAAGCCAAATGCTTGAATTCCTTTTTTTAATTCTAAACAAAATGACTGATTAAGCATGACTGGTTACATGATGGTATGGTTTGGTAATACCTGTGTTGTAGGAGTTGCAATTATTATACTCCGCTGCGGGGCAAATTGAATTTGATTCAATTTCCATATTCGACAAACAAGGGTTTGTTAATTCTAGAAGTGTGGTAAGAAATGAATTGCTTTAATTTGATAGTATTGTAAATTCGTCTATTATTCCTTGTGGAAAATATAAAGTACATGACTATAAAGCAAATAATGTTGGTTGTTTC